GTTGGAGTCCCCGGGGGAACCAGGACCTTTCTGCCAGAGAGTTCTGGGTTGGAGTCCAGGGGAACCAGGACCAGAGGGTTCTGGGTTGGAGTCCCGGGGGAACCAGGACCTTTCTGCCAGAGGGTTCTGGGTTGGAATCCCATGGGAACCAGGACCAGAGGGTTCTGGGTTGGAGTCCCGGGGGAACCAGGACCAGAGGGTTCTGGGTTGGAGTCCCGGGGGAACCAGGACCTTTCTGGATGGGTTCTGCATGTTCTCCTGTGTCTGTGGGTTCTCTCCGGGTTCTCCGGCTTCGTCCCACCGTCCAAAAACCTGCATGTTAGGTTGGTTTGACACTCCAAACTGCCCTTAGTGTGAGTGTGTGTGGTTGTTGGTCCTTGTGTGTCTCTGTGTGTCCCTGTGATGGACTGGGGACCGTCCAGGATGACCCCGCCTCTCGCCCACTGACCACTGGGATAGGCTCCAGTCCCCCCACGGCGCCATTAGGGGATAAGTGGTTACGAAAATGGATGGATAGATGAAAGCCAACACTAGATATATATGTGTATACTGTGGAATTATAATGATATAATAAACAAATTACAGAGATATATTTTGGTTTATGTTTTGTTCATGCTTTCCTTCTAAATAGGGTTGAGAGAACTGCTCTTATTTAAAACAACTCAGATGTTCTGAGGGTTTTCTTATTTTCTTAAAAGTGTCTCAACCAGACATTCTCCCTTTGCATGTTATTGCCCTGTTGGTGCTTGGTTCACATTCAGCTTTATTGCAAAAGCTCACCAGATAGATCCAAATTACACCAGGCATGAGGCAGTACAAACAAAGCCAAGTCTGCAAAAGTGGTGTTATTGAATATCTGACAAAACTCCTGTCAAAGGGCATCAAACAGCCACCGATTCCACGCAGTGACCTGTACCCTCACGCGTTCTTCAGCTGAGAAAACAGTCAGGGACCAGATAAAACAGTTTTAAACTGTGTTCCATAACTTCACAAAGTGTTAAACTACTATGAATTTCTAAAGTTCTGAAATTGGTTCCCCTTTGTCTTAGCTGTCAGCATCCATCCTTGTTAGAAATAACAGTTAATTATCTAACTGGGATCAACCTGGTTTCTGTCATGTTCAGATTACAAAAATCTAAGTTAAATGTGCACAATTCAAAACACTTTCAAAATATCTGGAACATCCTTTTATAAAAACTAAAACATAACTTCTCTCTTGATTATACCTATGAACAGTGCATTTCATCATCATTGGGAAAAATGCCTGAGACAGATTTTCTCATTGTTCTTCACTTTTATCTGACAAACAAGTGCATTTCTGAGGCTGAGCAGTGCTCATTATTAGTGAAATGACACTCGTTTTGATTTCTCTGGATATCTATGTCGTCTCTGCCAAAGGGGGCTTCGGATTGAAATCAGAAGTTGCTTTATTGCTCTGCTTGAGGCTGGCCTAAGGGAAAGAAAAGTAGCCAGGTAAATTGCTGCCAATCATTTTTTTCTTCAGCATGTGCCTGCAGCAGTAGCAGTACTGGGATTATTGCAAATTGATTCTCCTTAGTTTGGCCATGTATGACCATCTACAGCACCAAATTTGTCATTTCCACGTGAAAAACAAATTCCAGCTGCGACATATCATCGTATTTTTCTGCTATCCTTTATTAGATAGTGAGGTAATGTAGAGATAAAGGGAGAGCTGTGATGACATGCAGCAGGGGCCTGGACTGAAATTAACCCCTGTCAAATGCGATAAGGACCAATTCTACTCTGTCTGGTGAGCTGCAGGGGTGCACCAGTTTAATTCTGTTTGGAATTATCCTGAATCTTACTCCTTGCTTATAAGTCCATCCCATTCAAGCTAAGTAATGAAAACTGTAAAAGTTTGTTTCACTTTTGACTCTTATCAGAACTCATGAATGCAAAATACCTCCATATCTTGGTCAAGTCAGAAAAGTATTCTGGAAAAAAAATAACCTTACAGCATTGGGAAGAAAGCAAGAGAATGAGACAGGCTATTTGCATTCTGCATATAGTTGGAATACCTAAGAAATACAGGATTCTAATGTTCCAGAACACCCAAGAACAGTATAGCTATCCAGTAATCCCTTTCCTGCTACTTATACCGGAACCTGGAAAGAGTCAGAAAATAGATCCCAGATCTCCGCTTAACTGAGCAAGCCCAGAGACTTAATTTTAGGATCTGTGCTGAGACATTCTTCTTTTGTTGCATGCCTAAACCGGAATCTGTGATACTATAGACTACGGCTTCTATCCAAGGATTTTATTCTTTTACAGCATTAAACAGATGCCTTCGGTCACTGGCTAAAACATCCTGACTGGGGCTGCTTTCTGACTGGATGGATATCTAGTTAATACAGGTCATTTTGACTGTGAGTGAGTTTAATTAATTCCACCCTTGGAAGGAAAGCAATCTTTCAGTGTCTTATGCTAATCGTGCAAGGAAAAGAGTGACTTGTAAATTGACAGATTTGTCTTTTTGGCTCAATTCTCACTTCACCAGTAAACATCCATGTCAATACAGATGGTGCACCAACCAGCCAGTCAGTCTTCAACTCCATAAATCATGAAAAAAAACACACAATGCTGTGAGATAGAAACTAAAATGACCCAGTAGAGGTTGGGGAATGTTGCATACACAGCTCTTTGAAGAAATCCCCAAATAATCACCAGTTTTTGAACACAAATTGAACATTCTTTTTTTCTCAGGTGAAGACTCAGCAGTGCACCTGCATCGCAATCACGAAGGACGTTTTGTTTTGATGACAGTAATGCACGGACTCACTAAATCTGGACAGAAAAAAAAGACAAACTGAAAACAAAGTAGAATGAGTCATGAATTGTCCCTAAAAACAAACAAACAAACAAAGCTGTGGCCTTCAGAATCACGTGTAGAACTCACACACCATTACAACCATTAAAACCTGGATCGTGTAAACCTGTGTGTTCAGGAACATGATACTTCGACAACTCACAATGAAAGGGAGTCTTCAAGAACCAATGGGATCATTCACATGAACCAGAAGTCAAAAGAAGATCACCGGTGAGCTGTGACATTTTACCTATGGTGGTGTGGTGGTTAACACCATTGCCTCACAGCTAGAGGGTTCCGGGTTCAAGCCCCTGGGGGAACCAGGACCAGAGGGTTCTGGGTTGGAGTCCCAGGGGAACCAGGACCAGAGGGTTCTGGGTTGGAGTCCCGGGGGAACCAGGACCAGATTGTTCTGGGTTGGAGTCCCGGGGGAACCAGGACCAGAGGGTTCTGGGTTGGAGTCCCGGGGGAACCAGGACCTTTCTGGGTGGTTCTGCATGTTCTCCTGTGTCTGTGGGTTCTCTCCGGGTTCTCCGGCTTCCTCCCACCCTCCAAAAACCTGCATGTTAGGTTGGTTGGACTCCAAACTGCCCTTAGTGTGAGTGTGTGTGGTTGTTGGTCCTTGTGTGTCTCTGTGTATCCCTGTGATGGACTGGGACCCCGCCTCTACCCATTGACTACTGGGTTAGGCTCTAGTCCCCCTGCGACCCCATTAGGTTACAAGTGCCGAAAATTGATTGATGGATTTTACTTCTTTATTTATATGTGCAAAATTTCTTGTCAAAATTTCAGTATTTCATATTAAAAAGAACTTAAATTTTTTAAAGGAACTAGACTGCTCACTGGCTTTCAGTAGGCTTCACAAAGTCTCAAACTGTTTGGAAGTCTCACTGAGAACCAAATGAATAGTTCATTCAACATTAATATTAATGCGCATTAATAGTGGAATGATCATTTCCTCTGACAGTTGGGTGTCGGAATGTTTAGAGGCATTTATACACCAAACAAAGATTGTATGGATGGGTTCTATGACATGTTTAAATAAAGGCTACTTTTTGATAATGGAGCAGGGCCTTCACGCTGTGGAGCTGCTGCTATTTTGGAGCCCTTGAACTTTTAGTCACACCCGTTCCTGCCTCTCTCCATTTTACGTCCCTTCAAAGTCATCCGTCACTAAAGGGAAAAATGAATGTACGTCTCATCCCGGCACCTGCGTAACCACGGCTAATGCACACCATGAAGGGGGCAAGGATTGAAAGAAAAAGAAGGAGGGAGAGAAAAAAAGAATTCCCCTAACAAGCCCTGCACCGTGCACGGTAGCAGACATCGGCCAGCGAAAAGCCGAGCGCGCCACGGAGTTGGCAGCACATATAACCGCGAGAGGGAGAGCCCCATGACACCTTGCTGATATGGATTGCACGGATTTTCTCATTTGCCTTTTGATCTGTGCTGCTCTCCTGTCTCTGGGAATCACTCTCTGTAGAGGCACTCCGAATCTGGCGCATTCACTCGGTCGTCGAGAAGCTGTGTACAGCCAATCAAGGGAACAATGGCGGCGGCCCGTTTGATTCTGCCTGGGAAGGGCTGGCGCCTGATCTCTTCTGGTGCAGATGCAGAACGCTGTCAGCCGCTCACGGGAGCAGCATCAGATCTCGTCAATAGCTTTTGATTGAGCCTATTTTGCGCCGTGTGTTTGGACGTCAGACCCACAGGAGCCAGGTGCCCGGGCCGAAAAAAGCCTGTAGAAAAAAGATAATATGTTGGCCAAAAAAAGGAAAAAAGAATTGAGAGCCAGAGTACCGAACAGGCACATGTTTTGGCAGAAATAATTAAAAACACTGAAGTTGAAGGAAAGACAAGAGCCGGGAAACAGGAATCAGTCACAGAAGATGAATGACTTGTAATAACCCGGCCAGCAAGCTGCGATGCCGTGTCTGCCAGTGATGGAGGGCCCCCTCGTTGTTCAGGTGCTCTGGGTTTGATGAGAAGCCAGTCACAATGGATACCGAGAGGCCCGCGCCAGCCTGCGCCACCGGCTATTGAACCGGTTTCTCTGATGAGAAAGGAAAAGGATGTATTCTTAACTGTCAACGCCGGGATGAAAATGGCCGAGGGGTGAGGATGAAAGCGCGTCGGGCGCTCCATCATCATTTTTAGAGAAGCAAAGGTGTGCATGTGCAGAACGGATGCTGCGGGATGACACACAACTGTGTAGGTCACCAGCTTAATTACATGGTGTGAGCTACACTCGTAGTGCGCTGATGATCTACTGCCGCGGTGCAGGCAGCCTAAGAAATTTCTTTTCATTTGCTGGCACGGTGTTGAACATTAACCATGAAGCAGCCCAGCAGAGCACTATGCCTCTCTTTAACAACTCCCCGTGGCATTACGCGGGATCTTCTTGAGGAAGGGAGATAAAAGGAACGGTGCTGAAAGCTCCTGCCTCAGTGTGGATAGTCCCCTACAAAGAATGAGTTTAATCGCTCCCAATTGCTTTGCCTTAAAAAAAAAAAAAGGTGTGACCTCTTTCCCTTTCCTCCCTTACTCCTGCCACCTCCCCCCCCCATCTGTCTCTCCTTCTTGCCAGCGAACAAATATCGCCTCGGGGAGATGTGCTGCTTCTTTCCCTCCGTCTTCTCTTCCCCCAAAGCCTTCGCTTTCAGCCCTGTAATGCTTTCATCCAACTGGGAGCAGCGTGAGGAGTAATCAAAGCAATTACCTAAGTCCCACTTTCTTTCGTCGGAGACTTGTCGTTTTTTCATGTGAATCTTTCCAGCGGAGTGGAACAGTTTGTGTCTCGGGGACTTTTTGTGGAACATCACACGGCAGCTGTCACAACACAACGAGAAGCTTTCCGTAGAGGCCCAGCGTTACCTGCAGGAGAATCGCTTGGCCTTTTCAACAAGAGAATAGCGACTAATTAACCGAATTAAACCAAAAATACACAAGAATTAAAAACTATTCATTTCAAAGCCGGGTCTTTGAAATTCATTTGTGGGGACGCAGAGCTCAGCAAGTCATATTATCAGGCCAAACACAAATGGGCCACGGAGGAAAAAAGCATCACATCAAATGCCTCTCAGGATTATCTGTTTTCATGGGCGCTCAAAGAAAAAAATGGCGTGCTTTCTTCATTGTGTCTCGTGATCAGCCAAACAGCTGAAGAAAAACCAGTGTCTTGGCAAATCAACAGAGCCTTGACTTGGATGAGACAAAATGAGCTCACCACAGATATGTTATGTTACCCAGCCCTCCCTATTGCAAAAGTGCGTATCTATCCCTCGCAGTGACTCTCATAGTCTCTGGCATGCCGTCCGAAATTGTAAAGGCCTTAATTAAAGATTAATGTCAGGGCTTCTTGCATGCGCTGCTTAGATAAGTCATTTCCCAGGGCGCGTTGCTAAAAATCGCCCAGGCTGGACACCAGATTTTTCAGCTTTCAGAACAAAAGCCTTCAGCTCCCTGCCCAACACAATCTGTTCAGGCAAAGGACGAGCAATAACCGCTCTGGTGGTGTCTGACTTATACATGACACAATCACAGCCTGTGGAAGGCCCGCTGAATCTGCCTTCTGTTGGGCCCTCCCAACGGCCAGTATTAGCTCTTCTCTCATTCATGCAGCATCTTTAGATTTCACAGAAAACCACACCATGGATCTGTCAGTGAAAACTAACTTTGCGTCCTCTGTCTCCACATGAGAAAGATACCAATGAATACTGGATACAGCAGTCCAGAATCATCCATCCTGTCTATCCTGATTACAAGCAGAAACAGTTTATTGTAATCTTTTAAAATGTTCTTGAGGAATAGTTCCCTTGGTGCTCTAGTTTTTTTATATATATATTTTTTTCTTTGGGCATTTTGTTATGCCTGCCTTTTTTGTAATGGAGTATGAAATGTTGTTAATAAACTACTTAACACTGACTTTTTAAATAGCACAATCAGGTTTAAAAAGCATATTCAAGGTACCTTAACTCTGTTTTGGGGCACTTGTCCATTGGAGCCATTTGCAGAGTCATAAAACATAATCAACAAAGTGTTCCATATAGAGCTATTGCATAATTGAATCATTTTTAATCATTCTGAGCATGCTGGACGAGTGAGAAAAACAAGAGGTGACAGACTTTAAAAACCTGTTTGCAGCTCATGAGTAGTATCTAAAAGATATTGCTAGAAGCCTATCTGACCACAAAAATGCTATACTACAACAATGATCTATTGTTGGTCAAAGTCTGATCAGAAATAGTCTCCATGGAAGCCTGAGTGTCACAAAGTATTTCTTCAAATAGGAAAACAGAGACAAAGGCTCAGATACACCAAATGACTGAAGAAGTTCATTGAAAATCAGCGCAGACAAATTTTATGTGTGTTTGTGTGTAAACATGCTTGTTGACAATTTGAATTAGATGTTAATGAGATCCAACCAACTTCACTGGACCGCTAGAGATCTGTTGTAAATTGGAAATGTTGTTTTTAAACTCATCGAATCACAGATCCTTTCCATTGTCAGCTCAAGGTTGTTTCTCCATTAAATAATTCCACAAGGAGAGCATGTGTTTTGTATGTTTACAACAGATTTAATAAAGCTTGTAGTGGAGGTGAATAGGAGGATGCTTTGATGGTCTGAAAGCCCGGTAATACGCCTCTGTCAGCACATCTCCACCGTGGCATTTCCAATATATATGATTTCCTCAAGATAACAAATCTGGTAGATCTTCACATAGATGAAAAACAAGAACGCCCTCCAATATACTGCAAGCAATGCAAGCCAGGGGATAAAAGATACAAGCGTTCTGATACTGCGTTCAGGTTCTGCTGGAGGGTTTCATCTAATCCCTTCATTATTCAATCAAAGTCCAAATGAATGTATCATAACAGGCGATGCTTCGGTGACAGCCAATTTCTAGCCTGGAACTGAAAGTGAATGACTGTTTCATTTATTAATTCAGCCGCCTTCACGTTAGCTGTTGAATTGAGGAATGAGTTTGCCCTCCACGGTTGTGAGGGTGTCATGAGGCACTGAGGTAACTTCTATATGACGGGCAGATAGGGCAGATACGTACAGAGAAGGCCGTTGTGGTACATTAAAACAGTTTGCTCTTTTTAGGGTTAGCTCAGACTGACTAGAGGTGGTGAAGTCGATGAGGCATAGAGTGGCAAATTACAGTGATGAGACTCCCTTTTGCACTTAGCACTATACATGCTGCTTCCTGTTTTATGCACATGATCATTCTAAGTTCTGTTATTTTACATTTCCTTGTGTTTGTTTGTTTGTTTGTTTGTTTGAGCTGCTATTTATTGGATCTATGCAGCTGGCCTTGAAGAAAAAACCTAAAAAACTATTTACATTATTTTAGATGAGGCTTCTGCAATTATCAAAGAAATGACAAACTAACTCTTTTTAATTAAATCAATCAATACAACAGACAAAAGGATTATTTTATATATTTAATGCCAGGTGATGTTTCTTCATGCTGCTTTCTGTGGAAACAGACCATGACTATATGACTATTATGCACAATGCTGCATTACATTTCCTGGTATCTTCTCGAGCTTCTGTTCATAATTTCTGTTTCCGTGCTTCATTTATACAACTGTTCAATCCCTTTACCACACAGCAAACATGGGTCTTGGCACGGTATGCTAATATTATACCAGTTTGACACCTGGATCATACAAGTTTTTGCCATTTATTCAGGATTTAATTTAAGGAAGTAATTTTCTATGTAAACGTCAAACTGTTCCTGAACTGCTTCAGTGAAGTCCAGGGTTTTCTGCCACAATCACCTTAAAAATGATTCACCTGGTGGCTCCTTTGTGGAGAGACATTTTCTGCATGTATTCATTCATTTGGAACATGAGAAAATACTTTATCAGAGCATACTAAGTACTGTCATATTTATTTTTGGTAAGTGGCATAAATTGAATGTTACCCGGGGCCTTAAAGGTTAGAAACAGCATCTTCATTCAACCAGTTATTTTCTTTGTTTAGTCTCTATTCAGTAGCAGGACCCTATACAGCACTAACACATGAAAACCTACCATGTTCTCTCATCAACAGTTTCTAGGCAATCAAAAAACAAATGTTCAATTACGAACATCGTGTGCACATTCAAGAAACAGTGCACAAGAGAAACCAGGTTTAAAACGTTGTAATAAACATACAGTGTGCTGTGTGTCTGTCTATGTGTGAGTGTAATAGTATAGAGAACATCTCTCACATTGATTTTTTTTTCTAACATCTAATTTTGTACAAATGTAGATGGCAAATAGAGATATATTCTATGTAACATGCTAAGATAACTGTTTGCTTTCTGTCATCACAGCAGAGTCCTACAGTGCTGAGGGTGTGTTACTCACCTACAATATATGAGCTCTGACAGCTATTGCCTTACAACCCAGTCGGTACAACTGTACATCTATATTCTTTCTTGATTTTTGGATAGAAACCAAGGTAAGTTAAACAGATAGCAAGATATAAAGGACGCATCATTTCAGTTAAATCAAGTTTCCAGATCATTATCATTATCCAGACTCAGCTTCTTGTCAAAATATGTCAATTTCTGTCTACATGAATATCAAACTGGCTACAGGCAAATGCTAACCTCAATGCTTTAAAGCAGCAATCTCCAAACAGGCGATGACACAGCAGCTACTTCAGTTCAGCTGTACAGTAAAAAACATTTTTATACGACCAGAAGGCTCACTGAGCAGTCAGATGGGGCAGGCCATTGCAAGTTTAGAGTCAAATGTATTCCATTTCTGCAATAGCAGAATTATACGGAGCTTGAGGGGTTTAAATTATAGGTATTACAATGTGTTGAATTTGATAAGTTCATAATCAGATGATTCTTAATGGGCTGATCATGGATTCAAATGTCACTGAGCAGTAGATTAAAGTCTTGTGATTTTAAAGTAAATACCGGAGCGTATCTAATTAAGTAGGCCAGAAGAAGTAGTCCTTCAAAAGATTCAAAATTAGAGTTGATACATTTTCGGTGACATGACAAGTAGTGACCATTGTCACTGAAGGGCCTTTGGTCTATTATACAGATGACCAAAGTCAAAACTAGCACATCATTTTGCTGCAAATTGTGCCTGTGTCACAATAAAATGACCCTCTTAACAGCACCGTACAAAGAGGTCAAATTGCTTGGAACCTCAATCCAGGACTGCTCTTGTTATAACTGATATTTTAACCTGGGTTGCATCCATGTATAAACATAATACCCAACAACTGACCACTACCATCTGTACTTGGATCACAACCACACGGCAGACACACAGCATTTAATGTGATCCGCAAGTATTTAAATCCTGTTAAAATTTACTATTTGATGATTTAATAATTCAATTTAGTGTGGGGTGTCTTAGCTATTCCTGGAGCTGTTCCCACACTGATATCTAAATATTTGAAGCAGCGTGTAACTAAAGATTTGCTGTCAAATCAAAGAGATATAATTAGGTGTTTTCGCTGCCTCCAACAGTTCTCCATCTTGAAGAAGCGGGGGGGGATTTTTATTGCCTTAGATTCCAGGCCAAGCCTGTGCACTCAGATTGCATTACCACTGATAGGACAGCTTGTATAATAGGGCTATTTTACATTGTTATTCAGTTTGGAGTGTTTATGGCACATTTACATCCTCTCTGCGAATCATTTACTTCCCCAAAGTTGTTCACCCAC